CACACACACACACACTCACTCACACTCACACAGACAGACAGACACACACTCACTCACACACACACAGACAGACAGACAGACACACACGCACACTGATCCGTCACACATCAGCAAACAATCAAACAAACAAACACACGACACAGCACAGCTTAGAATTTACGGTGTTAAAATATAAAACTAAAGCATCGTGTGAACCCGATCAAAAAGCAGCTCTCCCAAGCGCGATTCGCCGCAACACGTCACTTCCGGTTCGCGAGTCTAGAAATGATGGCGGGAATTGTGTTGGTGTAACATTGTTTCATTTGAAAACCACCTGTGCGTTTCTGCAGTTGGGTTAGTTGCCCAAACCAGCTGAAATTATTAAAAGCTGTAAAAAAAATTATCGCTTTTTTATTATTACTATCATTATGCATCAATGTTTCATTACACATCATTACCAAAGAACTGTGGTGTTATTTTGAATCGCAACAGATTTTTCTTCAAATGGATTGTTGTATTTCTTAAAATGCTCGCTTACAATATATTCCTGTTAGTTGTGTTTGTTCCGCACGTGCTGTATCCCCGCCTCTGCGTTGCCAGGGTAACGTGATGCGTGCTGACGTCAGCAAAGGGTTAGCGCTCGTCGAGCAGTCGGCATCATTTCTCGGTAACGTTTGTCGGTTTATTAGCGGTGCAGATGGAGGTGACAGTCACGATGGACCCGCTGTTTCTGGCCTGGAGCAGCTACAGGAGGCGGAGGTTCCAGAGATGCGCCGATATTTGCTCAAAGCTCCTGTCAGGAAGCCCGTATGACCAGGTTAGTGAGCAGTTAGCGATTAGCTGAGAGAGATTAGCGCTCATAAGCGCATTATAACGGTATGACTGGATTCAGTGTACTACATTTCCTGCGGTCAGATTCTGAACTCCAAAAGTTTCCTGACATTTAACGATCTGATGATGTTCATTAAACCTGTTAGAGTACATACAGGCATGTTTTATTGATTATGTGCTACTACACATCAATGTCTGATCTGAAGTGTTCACACTCTTCCCATTACTGTGTTTGCCAAGGAGCCTGGTACTTGTCATGTTTCTGAGGTAATTGTTTGTAAAATTTTCATGAAGCTCATCAACTGCTCCGTATTATAATAATATAATAATTATGTTCCCAATATTTCCTCTATGTTACTCACAGTATTCCCTGTACTGCATTCCCCGTATTATTTGTCCAGTATTCCCTCTGTTAGCTTTGCTCAACCTTTTCCTTCAGTGAACTCCTGCTGTCCCTTTAACTGTAACACACTGGATGATCTGAAGAGCTGTGATCACCAGCCTCCTCTGAAGCTGAAGCTGATGTGGTCTGATGGGTTTTAGGCGGCGTGGAGCTTGAAGACGAGAGCTCTGACGGAGATGGTGTACATCGATGAGGTGGAGGTGGATCAGGAAGGCATCGCTGATATGATGTTGGACGAGAGCTCCATCGCCCAGGTTGCACGTGAGTATTAATTGTCCCAGCAAAATAATTTACATTTCAGCCCATCAAGTCAAGATTATTTGTATATAGTGCAGCTCAGATGTTCCAGGTCTGTAGTGAACAGCTTCACAGGAACTGTGCTTTAATGTCTATAAGCCCCAGACATCTGTCAGAGATGTATGTTTCTCCATTTCTTCTGCACATGTTTTGGTTTCGTCAGGTCCAGGAACGTCACTGAGGCTTCCAGGAACGAGTCAGGGAGCAGCGCCCACTCCAGCGGTCAGGTGCGGCCTCATCTGCTTTCTCAGACTGCTTAAACTACAACGCCTGAAGCCTGAAGCTGTAGATTACTAGCAGTACTGTTGTAGTAATTAGAGTACGGGAGTGCTTTGGCTCTGCTTTTCTAAGTAGGGCTGCACGATTTTGGAAAAAACTCTCATTCCGATATTTTGTTTTTCTGCAATATATATTGCGATATGAAAAAAATAAATAACTAGATGACTTGAAATAGAAAAAATAATCAATGATTAGGGTGATTTTATAGGTGAGTAAATCAGCATAGAAAATAAACAAATTACAAGCATAGATAAATATAACAGAACAAAGATACAAATGAAGCAGTGCTTTATATTTTTTTGGTAAGTCTAACAGTATTCAGGTACAGAAATTTAATAATCAAATGTAAAATAACACTGCATAGTCTTCACTGTATAAATTAAATAGATTAAATCTGTGTTAAAGCTACAAAAGTGTTTTGTTGTTTGATTAACATTCATGGCACAGAAAGCCTCAGGAACATTAAACTGCTCTGAATATACTGTTACACATCCGTTTTCTTTCTCAATTGTTAACCTTCACCCAAGCCATAAGCAAATGTGTTTGCAAAGATACTTGCAGAGACATGCATTTTGGCATAATTTCGCGTGTATGTGTCATGTGCGTCTGCGTGACTCTCACCGTGTCTACACCGGACGACAAAATACTACAGAACCCATTATAATCAGTGATGCTGTCTTGGATGCGGCGCGACACGACAAATCCCCGACAGTAAACTGATGCCACGTTCTGTTTATGACGTACTGACACAAAGTTCAAATGATTTGCAGCGGTCGATGTGTTGCGTCCAGTGTAGACACAGTGTCTGTGTGTGAGCAAAGAAAACGATCAGTATAAATATAACGATCAGTATGCTAAACATCGTGGATGCGCACATCGTGATATCGCTGCTGAAACGATGTATCGTGCAGCCCTAGTTCTACGTAGTGATGCACTGAAATTTCAGTAACTGAAAACGTTCTGCCAAAACATCAATTCTCAGTTTCAGCTGAAATCGTTTCGGAGGGCCAAATCATTGATGTTTAATTAGTTTAATTAGTTTCTCTGATTGCGTGTTTTGACTGTATCAGTGTGTATTTCATGCTCATAATGTGGATAATCTACAACCGCTAAACATAGGTCAGACATGTGGACACTAGTGATTAGGGCTGGGCAATAAAACGATAACCATAATTATCACAATATAATTTTCCTCAATAAAACGATAAATGTTCGATATAACGTTTATGCGCTAGAAGCAGAACAAAACAGTGCGACTCATTTAAAGCGCGTCATACGGAGCTCACTAGAGCAGATGTGTTTACTCGCTGATGAGTCTCGGTCACGCAACACTAAACAGCACTGTGAGATCTTTTGACATGAAGTAAAGTTTCAGCTTTCACCTTCTTACAAAATTCAAACAATAAATCACAAACAAAGCATGGCTTAATTTGGAGATTAATGCATCGTTTGCTAGTTTGTGCTTTTTGCTGTTCAATATGAGAGCTTCTGTTTACATATTTGTTGTCAAATGAACTATAATATGATGCTTGATTAAGTCATGTAGCCCTGTAATCCTTGCCTTTATTCTCATGTGTAAGTTATTGCTCATATGAGGGTCAATTCCTCATTGAGATATTTAATGGTGTTATGTGTCCTAGACCGATGACTCAGTCGGGGCGTCCCGTCACAGGGTTTGTGAGGCCCAGTACACTGTCTGGTAGACCAGAAACTATGGAGCAGGCCATCAGAACCCCACGAACAGCTCGTCCAGTCACCAGTGCTTCCGGCAGATTTGTCAGGTTGGGAACGGTAAGATGCTGTGTTTAGTGTCCTTCAGAACTGATTTTATGGATAGCATTGATTTCCTCACTACACACAGTATATACGTACAGTGATCTGTCATGCCAGCAAAGCACATTAAACTGAAGCGTCAGCTGTTGCACTGGACTTTATACAGTAGTTTCCTGATTCTGTTGTTCTACAGTTTTTCAGTTTGACTTGCAAACATTTGTATGAAGTGTTGTAACTGTCTTTTTTGTTACCGTGTCAGGCCTCCATGCTAACAAATCCGGATGAACCTTTCATTAACCTTTCTAGGTTAAACTTAGCAAAGTATGGCAAGAGACCGAACTTGTCCAAGGTATATTTAACCTAACTGGAAAACTGCATGTAAAACTTCTTGATGTTTCTTGAAAAACTTACATTGTGAATCAAGTAGTTCCTTTTAATTATGATCTAATGTAATATCTGTGTGTATTAAACATCATAATATTTTACTAATGCACCTAAGATGTGATTTTATAAACTCTTGTCTCTCCCTCTCATACACAAGACCTTGTTTGAATACATCTTCCATCTTGAAAATGATGTAAAAAATGTAAGTAGGTCTCTCATCATTCTGTGGTAATAGCTGTTTGCTGTGTTTCAGACATTACATGTTCCTTTTTGCCCGTTTGCAGGCGTTAGATCTGGCTGCTCTTGCCACTGAACATGCTCAGTTCAAAGACTGGTGGTGGAAAGTACAACTGGGAAAATGCTATTACAGGTGAGAATCAGTCAATAAAGAAACGCACACCTTTTTGAGGTGCAAGTTAAAGGAGCAGACTAAATGAAGAAAAAATGTAACTGCACACTCCCATAAGCACTGTTTGTTTATTACCAACGTTTCGGCCAAACAAGTACCCTTTGTCAAAGTTGACTTGTTTGGCCGAAACAGTGTCTGCTGTTAGGTAGAGAAAGACGATTTTAGTGCAAAAAACTTTATAAACTAAGCCTGAGAAACATAATATAAAAATCTGAAACAGCATATCATGAGCTGTGATGGGCTGGTAATATGTAAGTGCTCATGTACAGACGTGCTTTACTGCTGTTAATGCATTAGTGACATTAGTCACACTGTTCCTGTTAGTAGTGTGAAAACCAGCTGTTCTCTATATTGTGATTATTTCATGTACAGCAAGCTCAGTAGAAACGACTGTGTTCGGCTACAGTGCAGGGCTGCAACCTGTGATGCAACAGGAGTAGATCTAAATATCATGCTGCAATCAACACTTTTCACCATTAGTTCATCTTGGTGGCTGTTATACTAAAAAAGCAGTAAAAGTTTTCAAGATATTTCCACATGTAATACTCATTTCATTCATCAGATTTTGGAGAAATGTAGCATTGCATCAGTGTCTCAGCAATGGATGCTCTGCAGTGAATGGGTGCCGTCAGAATGAGGGTCCAAACAGCTGATAAAAACATCACAATAATCCACAAGTAATCCACAGCACTCCAGTCCATCACATCTTGAGACATCTCGGACTCTCATTCTGACGGCACCTATTCACTGCAGAGCATCCATTGCTGAGACACTGATGCAATGCTACATTTCTCCAAATCTGATGAAGAAACAAACTCATCCTGCTCTCTGATGACCTGAGGATGAGCACATTTTCAGCTAATGTTCATTTTTGGTAGAGAGTTTCTTTGTGTTTTAATGCCAATTTCCAATGAACCAATTGTGTTTGTAGATTGGGTTTGCACCGTGAAGCTGAGAAGCAGTTCAGATCAGCGCTCACACACCAAGAGTTTGTTGATACTTACCTCTACCTCGCAAAGGTACCATTGACAGGTCTAGCTTTATTGTGTTCAGCTTGCTGTAAGTACTTCCCAGTGAGAGCTCTTTGTGCTGTGCAGGTGTATCAGCGGCTTGATCAGCCCATCACTGCTCTGAATGTGTTCAAGCAAGGCTTGGATCACTTCCCCGCCGAGGTCACACTGCTCACGGGAATCGCACGCATCCAAGAGGTATCTGTGTATTTGTCTTTTTTGTTTGGTATTTGTCTTTTTTTAATGTTCACATCATTTATTATACTTCAGATTAATTTGTCTTATGTAATAGAATAATCTCCCTGTCTCCATCAGGAAATGAATAACATGATCTCAGCCACAGAATACTATAAAGAAGTATTAAAGCAGGACAACACACATGTGGAGGCCATTGCCTGTATTGGCAGCAATCATTTTTACACAGACCAGCCAGAGATCGCCCTGCGCTTTTACAGGTGACTTTATTTCTTTCTTTCTTTCACATTATAAAAACATGTTTAAAACAGCTAAATTCCTAATTCCAGTATTTCTAAATGATTTAAAAAGTTTACTTTGTATGTAGCACAAAGGTTGCGTAAGTGCATTTATTCAGCAACCACAATCGCAAACAGTTTGGCCGAAATTCAGTTTGGATTTATTACAGTTTGTTTCTGTTTGTTTGCAAATTTAGTAGCAGCAAACAGCACAAGCGACTGTATGACTATTTAATTAGAGCAGAATATGTCAGTGGAGATCGCTAAACTCCAGCACACATGTTTGTCAGGGTTTTCAGATCATCAGTGCTTTTTAGCAGCCCACAGAGAGAGTGTTTATGGTTGCCAGGTTGGGAAGATTAAGTAAAACACTGGGCAGAAAGTGTATCTTTTTAAGAAAAAGCTCTGATTGGAGATTTAAACTCTTGACATGCCCCTTTAAATTGAATGTTTTTCACGGAGAGTGAACATAAGGATATAAACATCATTCTTACAAATTTTGGACCATTTTTAAAACTTTATAAAGTTCATGAAACAGTATAAATAACCCTCTACGGACACATTGGCAATAGAATTGCCATTGCTGGTAAATTTTTTAGTTTACTCACCAGACTAATATATGTGTTTGTGTGTGTGTGTATATATACTGTATGTATACTGATCCGTGATCCATACGGACCAGGCCCCACGGTTCGGCACACATGTGATCCATGGAATAATTACAAAATTGAACCATAGTAGAGTGAAAGTTTATCATTTGTACGTGTTTACACACTCAAGCGATTTTAAACCATTCCAGCACAAGAAGAGGAGAAAGAGCATTTAATTTGGTACTCGCACGCTGTTTTCTTTGCGCTCAGCCGCACACACATTCGTGTTTCAGACAGCGCGTGAACACCGAACTGAATCCTCTTTCGCATCTCCTTGCGTTTGAACAGACACATACACACAAAATTATGACAAAATACCCATCTCGACAATCACTCTCGTAAATGCCATCGGTTATGTCTTACGTGAATGAAAACAGCTGAGAAAGAAATCGGATGTGTATCATTATATTGGATCTGTGCATCAGGTCTTAAAGGGACAGCAGCCTACAAATACCTTCTTCTGTCATTTAAGCCAAGTTCACACTACAGGACTTTAAGCACAATTTGCAAGTTAACGAGCTCGCCGACAGGTCGGGCTGTGATTAGGGGAAAATCAGCGGGTGATCAGCGCGCGGCAATCTTTGTCTGACTTACCTGTGTCTTGGGCCTCTGCGGAATTCGGCTCCTCGTGTTTCAACTGTTCTTTATCAAATCTTAAATTGTCTGATTCGGTCTGATACCCTACACTACGATGCATCAAAGAGTCTCGCCGACGCCAAACAAATATCTAGCATATCTGGACCGGTCGGCCGACTCGACATCACGTGATGTCAGGTGTCTCTACGAGCTACACCCAATGAGAGAGCAAGACATGGGTCGAGGTCAGCGGAAGAAAAACAGCAGCAGCAACACGGCTTTAAGAAAAGTTTGGACAGAAGAAATGGAGCGAAATGTTTCATCACACAAACAGCTTGCAGCACTAATTTCTTCCCGACGTCAGTTTTCAAATAAACAACTCCTGTTTCACGTGTTGTTTCACATCATTCCTGTTCAACTTCTCGCGTGTGTTTTCGTGACAAAACGTGGTTTGGGGACCGTGTAGAGTCGTTGGGTGACAGTTGTTGTGTGACGCTCTGTTGCAGATCATTTACATAGAGTCATGTAGTGTGAACACAATGACTTCAAGACAGACAGCAAGTCATGTAGTCTGACCAGCACAGCTAATCAAACAACAAAACACAGCTTTGACAAAGATTCATCTATATTTTTATTTATACAGTGAACACTATGCAGTGTTATTTTACACTAAATTATTACATTTCTGTACCTGAATACTACAATATTATTTTATTTGTAACTTTGTTCGGTTGTATTTATCTATGCTTGTAATGTGTGTATTTGTTCTTATTTTATACTGACTGTTTACTTGTCTTTAATCATGTTTGAACTTTCTTAGTTAGCCTAGTAGTTTTTGCTGTGGTACTGAAGAAGTAATTAACTTTAAGTAATTAATGCAAAGCAGTTACATTAAATATTTTTTTTCCCTGCTGACCCTGAAAAATGATCCGATCCGTGACTCAAAAACCGTAATATGGTCAGAACTGCGAGTTTTGTGATCCGTTGAACCACTAATATATAGTATATATACATGGGCGTCGGAACCATTGAATGAGGGTGGGACACAGGACCCACCCACTTTTGAAGACCAATGATATTGGACCCACCCACTTTTACCGTCTCTAATTCAGCGAATATGTGTACTTTTCAGAGCGCCGTCAGTCAAATCCATTCCACATGACGAATGCCCTAATAAATTAAACTCTATTTAGCTACAGCCTTGAATTCCACGCTGCTGCTTCCTCAAATCCATTCCACTCGGCTCATTCAGAGTCCAGATAAATTAAACTCCATTCCGTGTTTTCACTGCTCGCGCCTGCTGCACTCCCGCCACACAGCAAAGTAAACAAAGCATCAGCATCTGCTGCTCAGATACACCTAACCCTACCTGATACTTTATATCAACTTTTCGATTATTTCCTTGATTTTTATTTTTATTGAAAACAAAAGCCTTTCCGATGTGATATGAGATGTGAAAAGGGAGAAGAACGAATTCGGCAAAAGGTGGATGCGAACTCGGGTCGCTCGCATCAAAAACACTACGCAACCCGCGTTACCACTTGCGCCACTGGAAATGTTGCTCAGTAGCCATCTTTTGTAATGTCACGTTAGTGAGCGGAGGTGAAGTAAATAGCCGCTGCCAACCAGGCGCCCTATTTGCACTAGGTGTAAATAGACACTGTTAATTAAAAGGCACCACACTACAGAAAATGGCATATACTCCAGTAATTTTTTTTCTGGGGGAGGACCCACCCACATTTATTTTGCTTCCGATGCCCATATGGTTAGAACTTAGGGCATTGTTGATCATTCAGTGTAACAAAAAAGAACTAACAATAATACTGATAAGATGATACTACTACTACTAAAAACAACATAAAAGGCCTGATGAACTGCTGGTAATGAATATTAATCACATTGTCTGCATTTGCTTGAGATGATTTGCTGAAATCAAAACAGTAACGGTAATAGGTGAGTGCCAGCCAATGAGATTGCTGGTTGCGCATTAGTTCCGCCCACTACCGAAGAAACCGGCAGTGGCTTCTGCATGTTTTAAAAAGGCTGAATAATTCCAAATGAGCACTGGAAAATACAACAAAAAACATAATTTACATGTAGTGCGTCAGTTCTACGTGGTACAGTATGTAAGACTCTCTCTCTCTCTTTGTGTGTGTGAGAGAAACACAGAGCGCTCTCAGATAAGCAATGGCGAGTCGGGGTCAAATACGCTGCACATCCATTGAGATGAACTGGAATAGTGCTCTTTAAAGACAGAGAGCGAAACTTTCAAGTACTCGGAGTGTTCAAGACGAGTGAAGACGAGTAAAAAAAAAAAAATCGTACTCTTTAACTCAAACGCTGGAGAGTAAAATCTAACTATTTATTAGCCAATGGCTATTGATAGACATTATTTAATCGATTAGCATGAACATTTAGTTGCATATGCGAGTGATTTACTCGCATTGTAGAGGGTTGATCAAAAACTGAAACGGCATCTCATCCATTTAAAATATAATTATTTACACATCTTAATTTCAGCTAGGCATGGAAAAATATGGTCAAATGAACAAGTATCATTTGATTTGATTGGAAGGTAAATTTGGAAATCATTGGCATGACAAAGATATGTAATGTTATATTTTAGAAATATAGAACTCAGAGGAAGCACAGTAAATGGAAATTAGAGAGGGCCTAGAATGGATCCTTGTGGAACACCACCAGAAATGGGTGCAGGTGATGAAGAGAAAGACTAAATGTTCAAGAAAAAACACCTACCCTTTCAATAGGAAGCAAAACACTGTAATGCAAGGCCCTGTGTGCCAAAGTACACACTCAAGGCGTTTTAACAGAATATCATGACAATATTAAAATAGACAAACCATGAAGGACATTTGTGACCTTCAGCAAAGCTTAAAACAATAAAACCCAATTTAAATTTATCTGACAACATAACCTTCTCTAAACATCTTTGAGATGAAAGGTAATTTGGCGATGGGTCAGTAATTATTCTATACAGTGGGGTCAAGATGAGAATCTTTCAATAAAGGCTGTACAATGGCTTCTTTAAAACTAACTGGAACTGCAGACATTTCACCTCTCCCAGAAGGCCCAGGAGCCTCAGCGGCAAATTACATGCAATGCCTGCAAATCATATACAATATCCTGAAAACTGGGCGTGAGAGAGAAGCCCTGCTTCCAGTATTAAGAGCTTTTTATTGGTGATTTGTTCACAAGTTGTCAGACGATATACATTTGCCATTGAATGAACCAACCCTGCTAACACAGCTTATGAGCAAGCAAACGAAAAAGAGAAGGCAGGACAGCTTTAAGTTTTGGTGTTAATGTCATTTAAATTGGCTGACTATCAAAGGAGCAACTCTATTCATGTACTTCATCGTGATGAGGCATGTAATCTCACAATGTATTATATTATATATGCATTATGTAGTAATATTGGTGTGATGCTTCCCCCCTGAAATGAGTTTTTTGCAGGGAACAAACCCATAGACAGTAGAGCTATTTATTATAGCTTTGATCATAGAGCAGATGCTATCAAAAACATCCCTAAAAAGGTGAGCAGGCAATAAGTATGACAGCGTAACTATCATCTGGGAAATTATCTAGGATATTCCACATGAAGACACTGATTGAGAAAAGTGTAAAGCTGTGGGAGGGTGGAACTAATGCCGAGTAGTCAACATCATGGGACAAAAAATGAGACCTGTCCTGGATTTTCTGAACTATGAATTTTAAAGGGTCGTGAAACCCTGTAACACATTTTCAGAAGTTAACAGATATATACAGGTTGCACATCACTGAAAACAATGATAGCACTCATTGTGTTTATGATTTAAAAAAAAGGTGGGGTTTGTTCTTCCGGTTTGAAAAGCAAATGTGAAGTATAAGCATAAACTCAGAGTTGTGACTGGCTTGAGAGTACGTGTCTACATCATTGTTAATGGGAAATAACGTTTTCAGTCCAATAACTGTGTTGGCGCATAATTCAAATGTTAATCGTTGGATTAATCGACCAATCAAAAATATAAACAATAGAAAAAATAATTGTTATTAGCAGCCCTAAAACAGTCATTTGAGTCTTTAGTGACGGTCAACAATGGATCTCTGCATCATATCTTCTGTAAATTCAGCCTCTGTCTCCTGTTTTTTAGGCGCTTGCTGCAGATGGGGGTCTTCAACTGCCAGCTGTATAACAATCTGGGCCTGTGCTGTTTCTACGCCCAGCAGTATGATATGACCCTGTCGTCCTTTGAGAGAGCTTTAGCCCTGGTGTCCAGTGATGAGGAACAGGCTGATATCTGGTATAATCTGGGGCATGTTGCAGTGGTGAGCAGACACTCAGAACCCAATGTGACCTGTGTAACAGTGTGCAGATGAGAGAGAGCATGCCGCTCACTGTCCCTCACTGCTGTGACAAACTCTCACGTCAGTGATCTGACAACTGATTTAGAGACTTAGTCAGTCAGACTAAATCAGACCAAACAGGAGGTAGATTCATACTGATATCACTTAAAAGAATGTATTTTTGCAAACCAAACATTTAACGGAGCATGGAAAGCCAGGTGTGCTTCTCATATAACCTCTGCTGGCAAACAAGTGGCAAAACATGTTCTTTTAATGGCAAAAGAGTAAGGATTGATTTTTAATTTTTTTTATTTTATTGTAGATTTTCTGAGATTTGTGTACATCTGCTGGTTTTGAAAAAATCTTAATGTCAGTCTGTAATGACCCAAGTTATTAATGAATAAATTATGGACATTTCAGGCTTTTCTCCTCTCTCTCTATTCCGCAGGGCATTGGGGACTTGACTCTGGCGTACCAGTGCTTTAAACTGGCCTTGGCTTTTCACAATAACCACGGTGAAGCTTACAATAACTTGGCCGTGTTGGAGCTACGGAAAGGCCGCATCGAGCAGGTCAGTTTAGTCTCTCAATAACTAATGTCATCACAACACTTTTTCCTTAAGAAACATTTACATCTACTGTTTCATATATTTTCAAATGAATGAATACTGAATTGAATCCAGAGATTGTGAATCGGTATCAAATTGATTTGAAAAATCTGTCAGTATATGTGAGGGGTATCGTTAAAGTTTTTTGCAAAATTTGCAGTTTTTAATCCAAAAATAGGTCATTTGTCTGATTTGTAAAGTTTCACAAGATTACTGAATACTACACGCTCACAAATGCTCCCGTTATAACAAAAAAGCACAGGCACCGTGTAAATAAGAGATTGATTGTTCAGTGTGTAGTTAGTCATTGATTATAACAGGAGTTTTCACGTGAGAGATCTCGGTCAGTTGTGCTATAAAGGGAGCGTCCTTTGTCCAGTTTCTCTATGTAATCCATTCACAGTGTAATTGCAGGAGTGAATCTGCTAAACTGTTCTGAAAGTCTTTGCTATGATTGACAGTGATAACTGTGGCAATGGACGGAACAAAACCATGACGAATCAATGTCAAAATAAAGCTGTGCATTAAGTGATGCAGAATAAACTCAGAGTAACAAACCTACAGCAGCAACAAGTCTGTGTTGGCTGAATATATTTAGCAGCTTCTACAGTTAAAGATCAAACTTAAAGCCTCTTTTTGACGTGTCCTAAAAAATTAGAGATTTTAAATTAAATCTAAAAATATTTAAATGTATTTAATGCATTATTATTTAATTATTAAAGCATTAATAATTTTCATTTGTAGTTAACTAGTTTAAAAAGTTAAATAATTAACCCTACTAGGCAGTTGGTGTCTGGTCTTATTTATTTATTTATTAAATGACATGAGGCTTTGAGATTTCTTACACTTGCTAAACTTTATACTTCAGTGCAGTAAAGTAGTGAACTTTGTTATAATAGTTATTTTATAATACGTCCAAAAGGAAACGTGATGAGAACTAGGTAGTCTTTGTCAGCTTTCTCGCCCATGATGAGTTTGCATCTCTGTATTCTGAAATGCAAAATAAATAAATAATCTATAGCAAAAGAAACGGCAATGTTTGAATGATTCACTATTATACAAACAAAGCAAATGAAGATAAATCTATTTGTAAATTCACCAGTGTGAAAGAATGTGTAGCGTTTAAGATTGATATACATAAGATATATAATTTTGATACTTCAGCAAATCAGAAAAAGTTGGGATGTTTTGTGAAATGCAATGAATTAAGAATCTGTGATTTGTTCATTCTCTTTAACTTTTATTTAATTGACAAAAGGAAAAGGAAAAGATTTCCAATGTTTTTCACTGACCAACTGTAAAATATATGTTCGGCCAATGTTTGGTGTGAACAGTATGATGGAGGAGTAGTTAAAAATTCACAGAAGAATCCACATTCAGACCAAAATATCTGACTTCCTGTTTTTGAGCATGTTAATGATAAACATGCTCTCAAATGATTGAAAAAGAACAATAATAATCTTTAGTAAAACAACAGGGTCTTGTGCCCTCTAGGGTTTGAGCCCTAATAAAACAAACATACAAATGAAGTTACCTGTGCTTTTTAGACAGGTTTAACAGTGTTACTCGGGTAAGTAATAGCCTACAAAAGATGTTGTTTGATTAACATGAATGACACAGACAGCTGCAGGGTTATTAGACTGCTGTCACTTTAAGAACTATTTCATGGATCCAGTATATTGACATTATACTTGTTTCTACCTTAAGCTAAATGTTTGTTACTCAGTCATAGTTTATCATATTAATATAAATAATAAGCTCTTCTGATTCTGATTCCAAGGTGACGATGTGTGCACTTCAGGCAGCTCTAAATACCAGTGCAACACAGCAGACTGCACTTTATTTACCTCCGTCTCACACAACTCTAGTGTATGATATATCAGATATTTATTATGTTGTGATTTAACCACATTATACTTGTTTCTACCTTAAGCTAAATGTTTGTTACTCAGTCATAGTTTATTGTATTAATATTTTATTTGTTTGTGTAAATTTTATATTTTCTCCAACAGCCCAAGCATACCCATAGTCATATAGAATGCTGCATCAGACAAATTCATAAGGGGGAAAAATGTAAATAATAAATCCGCTGCATTGTAAGAGTTGAGGATGTTCCAGTTTAATTCATTGCATGACTTCCGCCAGTAGTGGCACTCACACAGTGCAAGCAGTGACCCTGTAATACATTCACTAGAAAGACATGCAAATGTGCCTTTAGGATCAGGATCAGGATCAGCATCAGGAACAGGATCAGGATTTGCATCAGGATGGGCAACTTGACTCATGAAAGACTTTTGTTCTTACGCTGGATTTTATTGTGGGTGATTTGACATGATCCAGGATTGTGAAGTTCTTTGAAGCTCATCCTAGAGTTGCTGTGATAGCAACAGAACTCGGCTCAAACCTGCTCTGGATCAGGCTTATTTCACCTAAACAGGATTCGATTGCATCTGAAAGTCTGTCCCAGCCACTGCTACTTAAAATAATTTAAATATTATTTTGAAAATAATTAAAATGTTGCATAATCTATAAAAATAGACACCACCTCATTTAGAGATTTATTTGTGAAGGAATAATTATCTCGTAATTTTATCGCAGTCATACACACATTAAGTACAGTTTGTCATGCATGAATTTGAGCTTTTATGCGGTGGCTTTGATGAATCGCAGGAGATGCACTTCTCAAATCTCAAAATGCTGTTATGATGCACAATTAATTTAAACGGGTAGGCCTATGTCTTAATGGACCTTATGGATTAAGAAACTTTAATTAATGCTGTCATGTTTAAAAAATCCGCTTTCAAATTAAATGAATTTCTAATTACAATACTCTTGATGTAAAAAAAAAAAAAAAAAAAGCAAAACCTGTACAAATACTAGAAATTGTGAGAAATAATTGTGAATCTACGGGAGGGGACATGTTCGGTTCACTTAGTTTTGTTGTGGCCACGAGATATTAAGTTGTGGGAACGTGATAAAATGTTGTGGCCTAGAGATCCTGTGTTGAGGGAACAACATCCATTTCTCGTGGCCACGAGTTTAATGTGTGAACAAACCTGCGTGACCATAGCATTTATTATTATTAATGTTGTAAAAAAAGTAGTGCAATGTGATACATTTGTCTTACATGATTTTAAATAGAAAGTTCGATTTTTTTTAAAGAATGTTAATGATCAATTTAATGGAGGCTTTTGAAATTTATTTTAATGTACATATATAGCAAACATTTCACAAGCAGTACATTGTCAGAAATAAAATGTTATTTAAAGTTAATTATTGAATTATTGGCTGACAATTGCCAAAGACTCGTTAGTGAACATTTATTCACTGTGCTCGTTATTTCACTCATATTGCATATAGGCCTGCACAAGAATCATGTTGTTTACAGCCAAATAATATTACAGGACCCATGGCTGATCGTTCAGTGAAGTCGTGGTGTAACTTCGGGGGGAAAGATTTGGTTACAAAAAGCTTTAAAGAGCAAACATCGCTGACCTTTATTTAATTATGTATTTTAATCATCATTGTTTTTTTTATTGATTTCAAAAATACAATTCAGTATGTTCTCAAGACATTTAGCAAACAATGTTTATCCACACGAGGATGGAATATCATAAAATAAATAAACTAAAGCCCTATTCGCACGGGATTAGTATTAGCTGGTGACCTCCAGTCATTTGTAATAATTGCGGAGGTTGTCTGCGATCTTAATCCCGTGCGAATCGGCCATGTCTGTAATTTGTAAAGTAAAAATTCCCCCGCAAATGACCTACCATATTTCGCTGAAGCTGTGATAATATTAGTCCCGTGCGAATCGGCATCTCTGTGATTCGGCCAGCATTTGGCGGGTCGCATATCATTTTTCGAAGTTTTTGTTTCCTGTGTGCATTTTTTATCCCCTAGTTTGATATATGAATTGGGTGTTCGTCAAAGATTGCATGGGGTCGGAGATTCCCGTGTTTACAGCTCCATAAAATAACCTACTGGAAGCTCTGTAGTTTTGCTGTATAGGCCTATAGATAAAAATATTACAATTACAAACACACAATAACATTTTAAGTTACTTCCATTTCTGAAAAAAAATAATGTAGGCCTAGTAATTGATGTTATAAATACACACATACATTTTAGTTCCCCTCACTTTACAACAAATCCTTTAAATTTAATCGTTTCAGAACAGAATAAGAATTTAAAAATATATAATTCTGGATAAATATAATTGCAGTATATAATAATACTGTATATGCTTAACAATAAACATGCCAAAATAAATTAATTTATAAAGAAACGTAAGGTAAAGTTGGGCTTACCTCTCTCATTAGGCACAAATCCAAATGTGTCCATATTCGCGATGTAGCTGAAGCTAAACTATTAGCCTTATTAGGTAAAATAGGCTTTGTAGTTCACGCGCGTTCCAGTATCGACAGAAAAATATCATAATGATATTTCCAATGAATGCAGTAGCTTAGTGTGTGCGTGAGGCGCCGGCGCGATCAAACGGCTAAAACATCAAATAGACTACTCCGTCATTTTTGGTCATACAGTAAAGGCATAATTCGAAACTGCAAAGTGTTAGCAGTTTGAAAATTCAAGAATAATAGCAAAGTTAATAAGAATTCTTTCTAAATGCAGTACCGTTCTTATTTCGCTCTGCATAACCTGAACGAAAAAAAAATGTTTTGCTAAGAACAAACCGAAATGAAAACATTTTGCTTTTAATCTGTGTATTTAACAGCCTGGGAGACCTTCCCAGGGCAGTACCTTGCCTCACTGACTAAAATCAGGGCGCCCACTACGGAGACGGCACCAGAGGTAAGGGGGCACAGTGACCGATAATTTCTCTGCGCCGATGCCACGCGGAGGACAGTCGAACCTCTGGCAAGGAGTTGAAATTCGCCACAACACTGGTTAGCTTCATAAATACTATAATAATAATAATAATAATGTTTTACCATAATGTCATTTGCATTCCATCTGAACTTGGTTCTCCTTGGAGTTCTTTCTGTGCTGTCCTCCAAGTAGCCTACCTTTCGTAAGGTCCTGAAGGTTTTGCCATTATTTATGCTGCAAGCACCTGCTATCAACAAAACATTGATGGAATCTCAGAATAAATAAATCAAATACAATAAACAATCGGAGCAGTGACCGTCTGTCATGTGATATGTCCGCGCACCTCTGAATCTGTGCTCTTGCCTAATTAACAGGACCCACGTTTGTTATTATTTAGGAACCAGACAAGAAAAATAAATAAATAAAAGAAACACCGTAATTATTAGTGACAACAATTTAACAATGGCATTTGCCATATATTATTTCTAAGACAAAACCGTGGAAGTAGGTGAAACTGTAGGATGAGTACTGTTCAGAAATGATGGCACAGTGTCCCAGGCTTGGTGCTGAAGCTGTAATAAGTGAAAAGTGGGACTAAGGCAGAAAAACAAAGGTGCTCCAGCCCTTTTTCCCGCAAAGGTTTTAATTTTCGGTGGTAAGTAACTTTAACATTTTTAATAAGGTTTGCATCACTAATCTTGACGGACTAAGCATATTTAACAGCATTTTTAAAAAAAATTATATATATATACACACACACACACATATACATACAACTAATAGGCTGCTTTTAGGAAAAGCTGAGGGACCCAGTTTTTCACAATGTACTGTACACAAAACCTTTTTTTTTCTTTTTGTTTTTTTACAGACAATTATAGTGACCTCAGAAGAGGGATGAATTCATAAAGAGTGAAGACATCTAAACAAACACTCAGGAGGAAGACGGAGGAGAAGAGGAGGATGAACGGCCATCAAAACAGGTAATAACAGATAAAAATAGTATTGAGATAATGTGGAGATTCTATGCCACCTCTGTATGTGAATCTAGGAGAAATAAAAATGTACATTTCAATAATGAAGCATAGTTCTCCTTTGATTGTAACACAAACATGCATTTCTGTAAAGCTGCTTTGGAACGATATGTCTTGTGAAAAGCATTGTAAAAATAAATGTGAATTGAATTGAATCCCTGGTACTGAAAAACTTTAAATTGTCATTTTGACAGCAAAAGAGCAAAAAGACAACCTGTACCCCAAAAGAGGACCAGGTGATTGAAAGCCTGAAGAAGGAGCTGATGGCAAAGCAAACATCTTTACAGCTAAATTATTTTAATATTTGCAAATTTCAGGGAAAACCTTATTAGAGTGAAATGAAGTCATTTTGAGTTGAAGTCATAACTTTTATGTAACTTTTGCTGCAAAAGAGGATGCAGACTATTTCATCTTGGTTTTTTTGGCTCATTGTGTTCTGGTGTAGTCAACTATCGAAAACGAGTCATCATCAGACGAGGGCCAGCAACTGGAGTAAGGTACAGCTGCAAACGAAGGAACTTAATAGAGAGAACAAGAGGCTAAAAGAAGTCAATGGTAAAGAGATACTTGACGCCATGAGAGGTAATTGTGAACTTTAATATGAACTGCTTTAGCAAAGTGACTGCTCCTTACCAGACTCAAACTCAAATTAAACCATTTTAATATTATACTAAGCACAAACAAGTGTGTTGCATGACAATGATTGAATCAGTCACTGAGGATTTATTTAGAATAATGTTTAAAAGCTTTCTTTTTTTTTCATTTCAGCAGTGCACTTGCATATAGAGCTTGCCCAAAAGCTCTTCTGATTTGCTATTATTTGTGATTGATTTTTGGCTTTTGTGTCAACATGCAGTTTTATAATCATTTATATCTCCATTCTCTTAACAGAGCTTCCAGCAGTAGTGACAAATCACTCAGACCTCACCTCCTGCATCCACCTGTGCAACACCTTCAACATCTGTAGACTTACCAGTGTCTGCATGTGTTTCTCCTCAAGTGCTGTCTGATGATACACATGCATTTAAGCATTACGGTCCATGTGGGAAGATGATTATACAACGTCCCAGTAAATCAACTTGTTGCTAATTATACACATTACCTGAAAAATCTGCGTATTCAACTGTATGGTGAGTGTGCATGTTGAGTGGTAATTCTGAATTTTGCCTAACCTCAGGAAATCTAGGAGGCCTATGAAACAGTTAATGCTGTGGAGCCAATAAAAAGTGTGGCCAAACTCTCTCTTACATTGCACAGGAGCATTTTGCACCCTCGTTAATTTTATTGGGAAATGTGGGAATGTCTCTCAGAGTTCCTGTTTGGTTGGGGAATAATAACTTAGTTTATTTGCGTTAATGTACAGATGATGCATAAGTATATATCCCAGGGAATGTGTTTCATTATCTTCTCATTAGTTTAGTGTCTAACAACAATGTATAACCAATTGCAAACTAACTGATTATTTTTCAGGTGTTTCTCATGCCGGGTTGTGATGTCAAGGTCCCCAAGCGAAAGCTTAACTCTCTGCAGACTTCAGATCCTTTCCAATCCGTCAGTGTACATCGGGGCCCTTGCTGTGCTTGTCTATGGCAGGGAAACTCTGTCTCATTCAGGTTTGACAGGGAGACAGTCGGGACGCACAAAGACATGGAATCAAAGCCACAGCTTGATGGCACGAAACTTGATGCTATACTTGGTGAGTGCATTTAATTAAAGGGAAATTAATTATAAAATAAATTCCTACACATTACTCATAAAAAATTTTTTTTTTTACAAAATTATGTTTAAATTGTTTATAAATGTTGTGAAAACCCTGTAATCTATAAAAGTCTCATTTGGGATCATCAGTTTGGATTTGTGAATGTCACTAAAGAAAAAAAAAAAATAATCACACAATGCTGCTAACAAAAGAACCAAGGCCCCTTTGATGATGCCCAAAAAATAACCTTAATTTATGTGAAGTTAGACATTTAAAGGGCATTTTCGGCTGTGATTGCATTAGTGTTCAGAAACTTGAACTTGAATACTACATGCTACTTTGACTGTTTTATTGTTAATTCTGGATGATGAATTTGGTGTGACAGAAAAAAATATATTTTCATTCTGTTTGTGTGTGTGTGTGTGTGTGTGAGTGTGTGAGTGTGTGTGTGTGTGTGTGTGTGTGAGTGTGTGAGTGTGTGTGTGTGTGTGTGTGTTTTATTCACAGCCCATGCTCTGTCAAAGTTCCCTGACATCACCATGCAAGACGCATCATAAGGAAAAAAATACAACAACAAAAACTACATCAAGCAAGCTTCTGCAAAGAAACCCATATGAACAGAACATTGTTGTTGTCATATATTTGAACAATTATTGGGTTTGTGTTTCCTCCAGGGACTGATTTCTTGCATGACTCTACCTTAAACATTGTGTTTACAGTTTTTAGAACTGGGGTGTAAATTTGACTGTCATAGTTATTTTATGTTTATGTGGAATCCAATACAATAGATTTGTTCGAAATAATGGATTTATAAACAAAACTTATAGGTCAAGGTCAGTTTAAAATACACAAACATACATTTAATCCAAAAGCCAAGGAATACGGATAAGTCTTCAGGCGGGATTTAAAAACATGAAGGGAAGGCGCAGATCTAATGTCCAGAGGTATGCTGTTCCTTACTTGAGGACCGGCTACAGAAAAAGCCTGATCCCCCTTAGATTTCAAGCGAGAGCGAGGTATATGCAAGAAAAGTTTATCAGAGGATCTGAGAGAGCGAGAGGATTGCTGATAGCTGAGAAGTTGGGACATTTATGATGGGGCTAGACCATTTAACGCTTTATACACAATATTAAAATGGATCCTATGCTGCACCAGTAACCACTGAAGAGATGCTAGGACAGGAGAAATGCTTTCTCTCCTCTTAGTAGCAGTCAGAAACCTCGCGGCTGCGTTCTGGACCAACTGCAAGCGATTCAGCGATGAATGATTGAGACCCATATAAAGCGCATTGCAATAATCAAGTCTGGAAGTGATGAAGGCGTGAGTAACTATCTCCAAATCCTTAAACGAGAGCATAGATTTTAATTTGGCTATTTGCCTTAGTTGAAAAAAGCTGCTCTTCACCACAGCACTTATCTGGTTTTCAAAATTCAGATCAGTGTCAAAAATCACACCTAAGTTTTTAGCAAAAGGATGAATGTTTGATGACATAGAATCTAGATTAATAGTGATATCAGAGACAGCACCTGGGGGTCCAAAGACAACAATCTCAGGTTTGCTCTCGCTTATGTTCGTAATTCTGAGTATGTGATTTTTTGTGTAGTCCACTGATAGCGTAGATAAGATTTTACTTCAAATTTAAAGTACAATTAAAAGGTATATGTCAAGTATAAAAATTAATAGGTAAATGAACATTGCAGTGTACTTAAAGTGCAAAAATAAATAAGTAGTAAACTAAGTATGATGTTAAGTTCACTTTAAGAAAAGTTGTAGTATAAAAGTAGTACTGTAGTAGTTTACTGAGAGTACAGTAAAAGAACACTTGCAGCACAAAAGTAGTAACCTACTAGTTTACTAAGAGTACACTATCAGAACACTTGCAGTATAAGACTAGTAAACTACTTAACAAAGAGTACATTAAGAACACTTGCAAGTATACTTGCAGTATAAAACTAGTAAACTTGTAGTCTAGTGAGTATACGTCAAAGTGTACTTTTATAATCTAGTCATTTATTACAAGTATTAAAATAGTAAACTACTAGTATACTCATAAGTTCACTTGCAGTACAAATGAAAAACGTAATTGTGGACTAGTTGTGCAAAGTTTACTACTGTTAGACTTATAGTACACTTAAAAGTATACTTTTATGTACTAAAAAGTGGGCCAATTTAGTTCCAAGCGGAATTCAAATAGTACACTTACAAGTATACTAGTACATAGATGTTAGTATACTTACTACTTGAAGTATACTTAAAATATACTTCAACATTACTTAAGTATACTTCATAAAATGAAGTGGAAGTATACTTTTTCGTAAGGGTAGGTGGGGCAGAGCCCCCTCCAAAATATTCATCCATTTGAAATCATAGAACTGTGTATAAACTAAATCAAGCCTACATTGTTTACTTGTAAATGTGTTCAGTATATTATTTAATAAATATTTTCTTGGCTTCATGGCTATTTTAGGTCAAAAAGTCAATGAATATACACAGAAATTTAGCGCTTGGCTTGTAGTAAAGCCATGTTTTTGGCAGACTGACTTCATTTGTGCTGATTTACTCCACATGCCATTAGATTTTTCATAAGCATGTTGTTTATAGGAACACACTGAGGCTTTCACTGGAGACTGCTGTTATGACCTCTATGATTCTACAACAAAGAAAAACATACTTGGTAATTAAGAAAACATTTAAGATCAATATCTTCTATATCAATACCAAAAAGTTTATAGTGACTGTTAAATTACAACAATTAAGAAATGATTGTAGAAACTGTCAAATTACTAACTGTTCAAATATATTTTACATATTTTTTTTAGTTTTTTTCTAGAATCTTGTACTTGTAGAGACACACCTCTCCGCTCCAAACCCATATGTACAGAGACGAGCAAATACATGCATGTAGGACAAGGTGATCAGAAACTGTGTGAGAGACAAACAAGAAAGATACAAACAGACAATATGAATATGTGCGTATAGCCAATGAGAGGGTCATCTTTATGTTGTTCACCTCTTCCTCGTGCCAGTTAAAACAGGTTGTCCTGAAATGCTCGGCAACAGTTTTAAAAGCAAATAAATCTTTCGCAGACCTATAATATCCAACCAGTTCATCCTCAACTACAGCTCCAGGAAAGCAACGCTGGTTGATAGCTTCAACTGTTCCTTCAATTTGAGCTCTAGTCTGTAAGATAACAATTCATGTATTTTAATCAGAAAGCACATCAAAATAATGAATCTTAAGAAAACATTAGAATAACATTAAGGATCTTCAAGCAACACAATGTGAATTTCAACAACTGAATACCCGAATAACTGAAAACGTTCAGTTAATTTGTAGTTTGACATAATATTGGTGGATACAGAAACACAAAGCTTTAAAGCTCACGTTTTTCATGGTTATGAGATTATAGAAGACCTTTTTTCTTACCCAGTAAAACGTAGCTAAAGTATTGAGGTTGAGATATTAGTTAGGCAGGCAAGGCAAGGCAAGTTTATTTGTATAGCACATTTCATA